ATAAAGTAGTTAACGTTCATATAGTGTATTACAAATAAAACATTTGCAAACGTAAGTTCTACGAATACAGAATGTTTTTATTAAAATAAAACATTTTTACATTGTATTCGATTGTATGACTATACGTATATTCACTTAACATAACCTTCAGAATTTTCGCCAGTATTATGTAATACAAATAATTGAATCATTCAATGCATAAATACACTATGTATCTTTTTATCTTATAAATAGATCATTCCTCTGTTAAATTACATTTACCAGTTAGTTTTTCCAAATAGTGACAATATCGATGCTCAAAAATTTTATTCTCCTTGAATATATCTCTTCATACGTTTCATTAACTAAAATTCCTAAATTACATACATATATATGTATACATTCAATAATCACTTTCTCTTTTGAAATTGCAAGACTAAAATATTCGCGTGGTTTTATGTCCGTAACAAATAACTTGCGTGCAAAAAAATTTTTTTCCGATATAGATTCATAAGCTGTGCGTCGCGATCATTAAGAAAATAAAAAATCGCCTTTGTTTAGTACGTTTACAAAGCTGAGAGTGTCAAAGGGATATCATTACAAGATGGCCAGGGATTTCTCGATCGACAGATTAAAAGGAAGAATGTACACAAGGTGGGGAGATTGCGTTGCGCAGAACGTCCTCTCTTCGAGAAAGAGAATCTGACTCGTGGATAGGTGCGAACGGCACGCGACTCGCTGCACGCATATATTGTGCGTGAACTTGCTTCCATCTCCCTTTTCCTGCTCTATTCTTTCTCACTCTCTGCGTCTCTCTCTTTCAGTCATGCGTTTGTAGTGCGCTCGTGCGCGCGCGCGATAGTGTCAGATACAGAGAATTGTGTAAAGAAAGAGGTGAACGTGAGAAGAGAGGGAGTATTGGAAATGGGACGGGAATTGGATGACGCCGTGGCAGCAGCCACCTAGCCACCCATCTCAGTGACAGCGACTCTTTGTGGAGTGTTGCTAGTCGCTTACATCGCGTTATTTCTTTCGACTATAGTCTTACGATCCCTTCGATTATCTCTTAGTAACAAGTAAATTCGCAATGAATGGTTTTTTTCAGAGGAATTTTTACTACGTAGAATATTTATCGTTTTTGGTTTTAAGTAGAAATTTGTTCCGTTCTTATCAAATGTAATAATTTATCAACATTAGCAGGTACATCGTGCATAAATTTCAAATCGTGTCAGGATCAGACGATTTTATGTCAAGCGATATTTATTTTAAAATAATTAATAGAAATTAATAAAAAATCGCGAAAAATATGATTCATTTCATCGTTAATTATAATTTTACTATTAACTTATAATTTTATTATTAAATTAAATAAATTTAATATTTCGATATTTCTAAGTTACATTTATTTATTAAATTTTCTTCATAATTGGACTGAAATTTTCAAATTGTTGAAATAAATTGTCATGATTTTGAATAATTTGTTGTTTATATTTTTTACGATTTTTATTTTTTAATAATATATGTTTTGAAAGATTGGCTAGTAAATTTAAAAAAACGAAAGAAATAAGTAAATTATAAACAGAAAAAATTTTTAAGCAATATAACAGTTATCTATTATTTCATTTATTGTAAATATAAACTAGGAACATAATTTAAAAAATTGAAATGAAAGATACAAGATAATTGTTTGAGAGATTTGAGTTTGCACTCGAGTAAACTATACATGTAAAAATAATGAAAAAATTAGTTAATTAATATAAATAAAAAACAAACCTGAGTTATATTATACACACTATTGCACATTCCATTGTCCTGCATTATAGTTGTTTCATCGTGTCACTATTTACTGTCATTTACCATGACAACGTATTACTACAAACATTTCATAAAATCGCGGGAAGCCATATTAGCTAGGTTATGTTTACATCGAAACTGAACTCTTGCATTGTTGCCACATTTATGTTCAACACGGCTGATACTGAATAGAATCGTTTGTGTTTAATATTCTAAATATGTTTCTAAATATCTTTCAAACATTTGATCTACTCTTAAGCTGAATATTATTTTCAGATTATCCTTCTCGAGAAATAGCAAATGTACACACATTGCAATACGAAAATCTGTTGATAGTCTTTATTCAAATGTTACGTAACTATTCACAAGCTAAGACAAAACGTTATAGTTAAACAATGAATGCTATTATTTAGAACTATTATTCAGTAATTAATTTGACTTATTTGACGATTAATTTTTTGTTTCTTATCCCTTTCCATTAAATTATATTTTATAAAGCAAATACATAGTTAATAATAACTATGAGACGATATGTTATTTAACTACGTATTGTTCATTTTTACATGACGGAATAAAAGTATTTGTAAAAGATGCATATCCATAAAAATGATCTAATGTTTATCAACATATCGATTTACCAAAAAAATTGATTCGAAATTGCATTGCATTTTGATTATTATAAATTAAATGAGTTATTTTCACGCAAGCTTCTACTTACTGATATCATCGTTATCTACCATGATAACGGACGCAGTTTTCGTAATCTTGTCGTCGATATGATACAATTTCATTCTATATTTGTAATAATTATGGATTTGATTTGTTACCCATTTTAATGTAAATAACTTATATATAGAAAAAGTAATTTTCTTATATATATATATGTATATATATGTTATATATATACATATATATATATATAAGTTATATATATACATACGTTAAAGAAGAGGGAAATGACTTCATTTTGAAATAGTTTAATGTAGAAATTCTGATCTATCGATTATATATCTGTGTAACAAAGTAATTGTAATAGGTTAAAAAAGCAAGGTCATGTATTAAATTCCAATGTCTGTTACATTTCATAATATTTCCTACTAAATATTATGAAAAAAACGTTACAACAATAAAATGTCACAATAAAAAATTGAAGCAATAAATAAAATATATCTTCTGGGAATATTTCATAACATGGTGCTATTTAAAAAGAAGAATTTGTGAAAAAGAATGGCAATAGTATGTTCAAAATAACTCAATAATAAAAATGAAGTTGATTATATATATATATATATATACGTACGTACATATGCAAATACATTTATTTTAACACCATTCATTTCGAAAATATGTTTAACAGATTCCAAATTTAGTATCATTGTAAGTGATTCTAGCTTTGCTTGCATATTTGTGTTGGGGATACTTCGAAAATATCCTTTTTCTTTGCGATGTAAGAAAACATGGTTTAAATGCATTGAAACTTTGATCTCATATGTTGCTTATATAGGCCCAATATAATCTGAGTGTGAGAAGAAATGAGTTTCTTTGAATGAGTTTTTTTTTACCCTTTATTATTTTCGTAAAATAAGTGTTTCTCTTTTATATACTCTCGCAGTATACTCTCGCAGTATAATCGACAAATGAAAATCAGTTTTTATAAAAATTAAATATATTTTGATGAAAAAGTTAGATATTTAAAATTTTATAAATAACAAAAAAAAATATAATAAGTATAAAATAAAATAATATTTAAAAATTTGTAAAACAATAAATTTATTCGGCTGAATTATGCGCATTCTCATTCTTATATATATCATTTGCAATGACATATATACGTGTATTATACACAAACATATTAAAAATTAGGAATTATATAGCTTTATTTATGTAATTTCATAATTTTTCTGTATGTATTTCCAATATATTTGCAACATGTAATTAAAAATGAACTCTTAAGAAAATGTTATAGCGTTAAACTAATAAAATAAAACTGAAGAAATGTTATAGCATTAAACTAATAAAATAAAATTGAATTTTTATTGAATTTTTAATAATACATATTTTAGAACTAAAACCGTTACATATTTTACTTTTCTATATTCTTTATTGACATTACTATTCTTTATTGACAAAAATGAACAAAAATAAAATCACATAAATAGGTACAATAAATTAAGTCAAAATTACAAACTTGTTTGAAAGAAATTATTTTTTTAATATAAACAAGAATTAATATGATCTGCATATAATAATTGGATATAATAGTAGGGTATTCAAACCTGCACCTTACGAACTATCCATTCGTTTTTTAATAATAACAGAAAGTACATATCAATACATAACATTTTCTATAAATAATCTTACATAAAATTGTAACTGGTCATAATAAGTATTGGAATAATTAACACACGACATACATACCATTTAACAGAAAAAGTATAACAACATACATAGATGATATAACATTTCTAATAAATCATATTGATAATAATAAGAATAAAATATTCCGTAATTAATTAATAAATCACATATTTAACGTATAAGAAAATAACATATGTTGGTATAAAGCATGTTTAATTTGGTCAAGTACTTGATAAAAATTTTAATCTGAGCAAACTGTTTTTGTACAAATTGGAATAAATATATATAACATGCATTATTCTCATAAATTTTATAAATTAACAATAAAAATTTTCAAAAAAAACTCAGTCTCTTATTACACGATGACTGTATTAAAGATTGAGTGAATATCATCTGTATCATAGTGTTATAGAAAAAATGCACTTTCTTTTAATAGTAACGCTTTTCGAAATTGAAATCAATTTAAAATGAATATTACTTACAAATACGAAATGTTTGTAATATGATACGATTACAAAAAGTTTACAAATATTTTTGTTTTGTGGGAATGATATAGAATTGTTTTATCTACAGAGTATCATTCACATATTACTTTTTGGATAATTATACGCAATAGCAGAATGCTTCCTTTCTTTCATAATATTTCGTAAACAAAACAAATTAGATTTCATTAAATTATATGTAGCTGTTTACATTAACAATGTTTCTCAATAAATGTTACTTCCTTTAACAACATGACTTAAAAATTCAAATTTATAATTTACTTTAATTAATATCTATATACCTTTTCATTATAGAAATAGTGTCAACTATAATAGGATAAATCACACAAATAATTTAAAAAATGCATATATTTTAAAAATAAACAATATATATATATGTATATATATTTTCACGAATTTCCTTACGTTTTTTAAATTTAAAAATAGCTGATAAATAATTACATAATATGAACAATATCGCAAATTTCAATTTTTAAACAATAACAATTTACATAATGTATTAAAATTTATTTTTAGTAAGATTCACACGTACTCATTTCCTTTCATATAAAAAAGACTAGTTAACGTGTATCATTTTTTATAAACTTTCGAATAGAATTTGAATACTTTGTATACAAAAATGTTTCAGAATTAAGACTTTGATACTTGATTTATACTTTATTCTTTATAGAATGGATATAGCTAAAAAGAACTGAAGTTATTCTGTATCTCTTAGATGGTATCATTTTGTTTTTAGAAAGCATAATGTTTTTATGTTAAGAAAATATTTTCTGCTATTACAATGCATAAATTTATACAATTTATTGCATTAACTTAATATTAAATTTCGAATGCATGTCAAATATAACATCATTTTATTAAAGTTTACAGATTCCAAATACATATATTATATGTATGTACGAAATGCTATGTCGCAAAATGCGAATAATATAAACCAAGATATTTAATGGCTCAAAGTTTTCTCTCTTATGTCTAGTCATATATAAAAACATTATACTATTGAAGTATCCTTATTGATTGAAAAATTGGATACTTAAAAGAGATCTTTACACATAAACACCAGTTTTGAACAGTTATATACTTTTAACTTGATCAAAAGATACCATTTTAGTTGTTATTTTAATATTATGATGTAATAAAATATCTAGATAAATGTCCATAAATATATTCATGAGCCACGATTTTAAGAGTTTCTTTAATGGTGTGCGCGCAATATCCTTCTGAGACTGTTTGGCATTTGATGTACAATCAAGCAGTCAATCATTTTTAGATTTTGTTTCATTTTCTAGTTGACTACCTTCATCTTCCTCATCTGAATAATTTGTAGGTGCTTCACCGGGTTTCAATAATTTTCCCACATAATCATATTTTTCTAAAATAAAAAAAGATAAAAGTAATGATGTTTGTATGGCATTTACATTTCTTCTTTTCTCAAACTGTATTGAATTTTCTCATATGTATTGAATTTTGATTTTAAATTATAAATATTAAATTTTGCTGCACAAAGACTCATTGCATATTAATACAAACATCTCTCAAATTTTTAGTATTTATTTATAAGATTTTATCTTTGATTTTCTATTTAAAAACTTATATTTTATAAAGTTACCTTTAAATTGTTCTTCCCACTCTCTCATAGATTCCATCTCTGCAGTTTTCAAATCACTTAGGTCATCATATTCTTGTGATGTTTCCAGTGAAAATTTTGCTAGGGCTCTACTAATATCTTTCCCACCAAATACTTCATATGGAGCACCTGTAATAAAAT